ATTTATTTATTTATTTAATTTGTATGTCGCCCATCTCCCCCAATAGGTGACTCTGGGCGGCTCACAATTAAAACCAAAAACCCACGAACAGTTAAAAAATACCACATAGATAATTAAAATTAATTAATCCACTAAAAAGACAAACTGTAAAACAAATCCTATACATAAATACTAAAAACATTCAAGATGGGGGGGCAAAATCAATTACCCCACAAGCCACTTCCACTGATGCGAGCCCCCATCTGGCCCCCAGTCCTTCTGGCATAGCCAGGATTTCATGCTTTTTCTGAAGGCCATGAGAGTGGGGGCACACCACACCTCGGGAGGTAGGTTATTCCACAGAGCGGGGGCCGCCACAGAAAAGGCCCTCTTCCTAGATCCCACCAGTCAAAATTCCTTGACTGGTGCGGTCTGCAACATGCCCCTTGCCAGACCAAGTTGGGTGGGCTGATATAACAAGGGCGAGATGGCTCCTCAGATAACCTGGTCCTGTGCCATGAAGGGCTTTAAAGGTGATAACTTGCTTGTACAAAGGGAGGAAAAAAGGAACAATCAAGATATGTGCACCAGCATGATCATTATGCACATTATATTTAATCAAATTTGATGGTTTACTGTGACATGCAGATTTGATCATTGAATAAAGCTCTTTATTTCAGATCTTCCTGAAAGCAACTAAATTTTTGTTCTTTTTTTCTTCTGTTTTGAAAAGAAAACACTAATAGAAATTATTAAAAATATTATTTTTGTTAAAGTACAGGTAGTCCTTGCTTAATTCTTCAGCAACCATTCAAAGTTATGATGGTGCTGAACAATGGTAGTTACAACCAGTCCTCAAAGTTATGGCCATTGCAGCACCCCTGTGTTCACATGATCAAAATTCATGCACTTGGCAACCTGCCTGCATTTACGAGCGCGGAGTATGCTTCAACTCCCCCCACCTACCTGCTTCCCCCCATCTATGCTCTTTTGACACCCAGCCGCCCCTGCTGCCCCCAGCTGACCCTTGTCTTCTTTGCGATGGCTGCCTGTCTCCTTCCCATGTCTGCCCTTTTGACCATCCTGCACTCTGTCACGGAGGCCTTGCGAAGGGTCAGCAGCTGGCTCGGCTGGGCGCGCCTCATCAGCAGTAGGAGAAAAGATGGTGAAGATCAGCTGGGGGCAGTGGGGATGATAGGCGGGTGGAGGGAGTTGAAGCGGAGGCAAGTGTGGTAGGGCAGGAGAAGCATGAGGTCCTCACCTAATGGCACAGTCCTTGCCTAATGACCACAACCAGGGCTACTGGAACTGCCATTGCTAAGCAGTGCGGGTCACGTGATATCTTGCCCAACTACCACTTCACTTAGCAATGGAAATTCTGGTCCCAGTCAGGGTTGTTAAGTGAGAACTATCTGTAGTGTTAAGAAATAATGAAATAACTCATTTCAGGCTACTTTTAAGTTGACTGGAGAAGAGACATTGCTTTGAATTTTGCACTTGAGGGCTTATATGCCACTTCTCCAAAGTCTAAATAATGGAAGCCTGAAAGTCTCTTAATTAAATACAGGTTTCAAGAAAGGATTTTATAATTCCAGGTTAAATAGACAGAATAGTAATATCTGAATGTAGTATCTGCACATGGCAGTGATTGTTGAACACTATTTACTCAATTTTAGATTACTTTATAACATTATGAATAACTCTGGACTATTGTACATAACATATTGCTGTAAGTCAGAATTAAATGAATGGACGGCTACTTGTATTAGATGATCTTTTAACTGATTAAAATTTCACAGGAAAATAATTACTGAATAATATACATGTAAGACCTAATTCTGCCAAGTTCAGATGCAACCAACCTAATACTAAACCAGTTTGTTACATAATAAGGGACAGATGGAAATTGTTTTTCCTCCCCAAAAAAGAGAAGCCTCAAGCTTGTGGCATCCTGGGGATGGGAGAAAAAAAAACAAAATAATTTGGATCTTGATTTCACTATAAATAAGGTTTGCATTTTACTGTAGCTGTCACTTTGATAATAGTTTCATTCGTTTTTTGCAATCAATTTTACAGATATTCATCTTTGAGTGCTTGTTTGTGCTTTTATCATTTCTAGTATTTGCTGGTAAAATCCTGAGAATATATTCTCTGTTACAAGCAGAATTAGCATCAATCAGTAGGCTACTATCTTTAGTACGATATTGCAACGATGTATAATTCTTGTAAACTTTCAGGAAATATTGCAGAGTATGGAGGGATACAAATTTAATAAATAAATACTACTTCCGCCAAACCTGAAGAATAAGGAGAAATGCCTATATTCAGAGAATTTTGGTTAGTCCATTGATTAAAATATTTTAAAACTTTTAACAGTGTGTACTTTTTAGTTGATGTAATGAAGAGAGCTACAGAAAGAAGATAAAAAAAAAACTTAGATATAATGTCAAAAGATTAAAAATAAGATGGCCTCTAGAGTATAAAATATCCAACCGTTGAAAAGGATCAGTTTAAAATTTTATAATGCAGGGGGAAAATTATCAAATGTGTTCACTGTTTCTTGCTTTAAAGGTTAGTAGAAAAAAATACTTTTCACATAGTCTCTTTATAATGAATCAGAATGAGGCCTTCAGAGGAGTTTAAGATTTAATAAGGAAGTTTAAAGAGCAATTTTGAAAACTTAAGCACTTAAAAGAGCATTTTCTGAAAAGTCTGATGAAAATAGCTTTGTGGTCGACTTCCTGCTATAAAGTACAGGTTATTTTTAGCATGTTATTCAGGTGGCAAAAGTGAATATTGGCACCAATTAATGATCTTTATTCTGCAATTGGCTCAACATTGACTACCTCCACCCATTATTATATTAGTTTGTGTGTGTGTTTATATCATAAATTACCCTTTAAAAAACATTGCAGAGAAGCATTTGTCATTAATTTGTATGAGCCACCAAAGCAAATAGATTAACATCATTTTTTAAAATTAGATCAGGGTTTTATAAAAGCATTTCAGATTAAACTTTGTGTGTCTGTAGAGAGCAAAAACTTGGAAATCAGGAATAGGTTTGGCCTTTTTCACTTCGTTTTTCCTCAAGCCATAGCTTTCTGTGATGCTTGAGTGAGGTGGATAATAGTTGTTTCTGACTTTCATATCTGCAGCAGTGAGGCTGGAAAAGCCTCTCTGTATGAGGAGGGATAAAGGAGAAAAATTCCTGTAAGAAGACTCATGGCGCCTATGGGTTTTAATCCCAAATTATTGGAAACACTTACTTAATTGCTTGTGAGTAAACATGCATGCAGTATTTTAGCCTTGGATATTAAGAATAAAAGGGAAGAGATGTGATGCGTTGTCTTCAAATGAGTGTTTTTATCATTATACTTGTATGCGTTAACTGGTATTCTGTTGTCTTCAAATAGACAGATTCTTTGAATGTGTCATTCTGTCTCTTTTATAATTTGTTGAAGAATAGGGTTTTAAGGTTTTTAGTGAATCTGTTGTGCCTGTGTGTGTATGAGAGCCACCTGTGACTTCCGTGAGACAGCAGGACCAATTTGGATGGTCCAAATCTGGTGCCTAATGGATCCTAA